TTGCGGTCCCCAATAGTTAATGTTTCAAAAATTTGTTAGCCAAAGCATAAGTGTAGGTGAAGTTTAGGTGCTATGGGTTTAAATTGGTGGTGGTAGTGGTGTGCCGTGGATTCAGTGCCCTGTACGGCGAACAAGTACGTGGTTTCTGAGGCTGCAAATCTTAATGGGAGCAGAAAGCCTCATCTTTCTCCCATAATAGCTGGTAGTTTTGAATTGATGACCTTGAGATTCACAGTCCAATTCATAACTACTACACTACTAGAGCTCATTATGGGTTTAATTAGGATCTTTGAATTATATAGAGTTTTTATAAAACAAAACTTAACTCCTGTTTCTACTATTTACCTAACTGGGTTGCCTTGGATAAGATACTTAATCTTGAAGGTTTTTGTGACGTGTGGGGATATCATACATGCAATGTCTAATGTAAATCCTTAAAAATAGTATTGTTTTAATTGTTATTCAATTAGTCCACATATATTGTTGTTGTTAAGTGTCATTATTGTTGCTGTGGTTAAGTGCTGTTGAGTCAGTTCTGCCTCATAATGACTCTGTATAGGGTTTCTGAGGAGCAGCTGGCGAGCTTGAACCACTGACCTTGTGGTTGGTTAGCAGTCCAGTGCTTACCCTACAGCACCACGCCAGGACTCTACATATCATGTGGAGAGCCAGAAAGAAAAGGTACATCTCAGGAGTGTGTATGTTTTTTTCTTGAAGGTATTGAGCATTTTACATAAACTTTGTTGTTAAGTGAGTCAGTTATGACTTATTAGAGACTCTGTGTAGGATTTCTGAGGGCCTTGTAGTTCAAACTGACCTTATGGTGGAATGCTTATCCTAGAGTGTCACACTAGGACTTCATGCCTCCTAAATAAAACCAAACATTTTTTGCTACTATAGATCTAGTTTCTTCCTCTACACCTCTCTATCTAAAGACATGTAAAATATTAGGAGGTAGGAAGCCTATTGTGTGTGATTTTATTTTTAAATATCATCAACTAATATTATTAGCTAATTAAATTATGCTACTTAATTTAATTAATTGATATCTAAATTTTTCTTCTCTGAAGTATGATAGGTATATACACCATTAATTTTGGTCCAAACAGTCTGATTCTTTCTACACAGCTAAAACTTCCATTTGTGGTTGTTCTTGTATCTCAAACATCCACTTAAAGATTCTTATCCTGTTGAGGAATTGATCACCAGATTTTGGTATATTGCAATCTGGAAGAGAGATTTTCACATGGTAAATAGTAGAAAAATAATGTAAACCTTATTTCTGGATGCAATGGATTTGTATAATAAACTGATATAATTAAAATAATGAAAAGTGTCTTTAAACTTAGTCATTTAAAAAAATTCTTTTTCATCCAGGTGATGCATTTCGGGGTCTCAGACAAGAAGACAATCAAAATGCAATGCCTTTCAGCACATCAGATGTTGATAAGGATGGGTGTCATCCTGCATGCCTGGTCCATGGTCAGTCTGTGAAGAGCTGCAGTCACTTCAATAGTAACACTGGTTGGTGGTTTAATCAGTGTGGTCTCGCAAATCTGAATGGCATTTATCACTTCCCCAGAAAACCACTTGGAACTGGAATTCATTGGGGGACATGGACCAAAAACAACTCAACCATCAAGATTAAATCTGCTTCTATGAAAATTAGAAGAATTTACAATCCGTATTTTAAGTAGTCTCATTTAAAAAAATTGTTATGCAAATTCCAGTCATATTTGATAATGTGTTAGCGATTCTACATCATTTCTTTTTTTATTCAGTGTTTTATCATATTAGATAATATTTAGCTATAGATGGCATCTAGGTGTTATGAGTTTAACTCAAATCTTTTATTTTGTAGCGTTTTATAAAACAAAGCATAACTTAGTGTATATTTTTTCTTACTAACCATATATGAACAATATATAATAAAGTTTTCTTTAAGTGAATTACAGCATGTCTTCCTGAAATCTACAGTCTGTTCAAGGACTTCCTGTTCTTTTGAACCATATGTTGTGGTTGTTGTTAAGTGCTGTTGAGTTGGTTCTGACTCATAGCGATCCTGTATAGGGGAGCAGCTAGTGGGTTTTAACTGCTGACCCTATGGCACCACACCAGGAGTCCCTTGAAGCATATACACCATAGTCAATTATTAGGAAAATATAAGAGAGTCTTACATTATTGATTTGAATTAATATAACCTGAAGATAATTTCTATTGAAGACCATTACATGGAATAACTTTTGTTCAGATTAATGTACACCCACTCCTCACTTATTGACATGGTTAGGTTCTAAAGACCAGGACGTAATGCAAAAATCAGTGTTCTGTGAAAATGGAGGATAACCAAATGAGATCACAAATGGAGGATAACATCATTCCATAACTGCCAAATTTACCTACTTCCTGGTACATAAGTGGTTACAAATATATGCGTTTCATCAATCATCATGAAAATTAAGATCTAATATCAAATTTGTCAAGTCAACATTAATATGAGAGAGTATAGCTCAGTTTTGTCCTGGAGCCAGGAAATAGGTCTGTTCATTCTTTTCTGTAGTCATGTAACCTTGCTGATGGGCATAGTTAGTAATACTTGTCTGTTGTGATTAAGTGCCATACCAGGACTCCAATACTTGTCTTGAGTTGAGGAATACAGTTAAGAGGAAACAGTTTATCCCAATTTTATAAAATATAAATACGTAAGTATGAATATTTAATCATAACTGCTTTCTATTACCCTACACGGTCAGGCATGTATAACCTATTGAATGCCACTCAGGATGGTGATCAGATGTTGCAATTATTCTTTATAAATGAGGAATTCCCAGGAGTTCTGGTGTGGCACTGTAGGATAGGTACTGGACTGCAAGGTTAGTTTGAATCGAAAGGTGGACAGTT